CGCAGACCAGAGTCCAGCCGCGCGCGCGGGCTTTCTCCCCTGCGCAGCCCAGCAGCGCGCGCCCGCCTCGCGCGACCCCAGCTCGCTAGCCTCCCTCAGTGCGGGACCAGCACCAGCCGAGCGCCTCACCAGCAGCGCGCGCCCACCGCGCGTCTCCACGTCCGCCAGCCCCTCTCGCCGTGTGGTGCTACCACGACCTCCTCCAGCCTGGCAAAAGTGGTACCCATATTTTTTCCTCAATTTCTGCCACTGGTCTTCGAATTTGGGATCTAGTTGCTATATTTGACTCAGACTCGAGTTTGCTATATCTGTGGGTTCTGGTGATTGAATATTTGGTAAACGTGGCTAGTAATTCCCCCTCTGTTAGACATAATTGACTACTAAATTCATTGTTTGGGGGCTCGATTCTGCTTGTCTTAATTATTGTTGTCTGCCACGTGACAGCAGTAGGGAGTTCTTGTGTTTGTTGCCTTGTCGTCGTTTGATAGGGTAATTGTCTTCCCTTCGGGATATTGGACTACTGACTAATGGATATTAATTGTTAATTGTGGTCCCCTATTTATTTTTGGTGGTTGGTTGGTTGTCTCTAAGCTGATTTACACTTCGCCTGTGGTCACCGAATGCCTCCGAAAAAGGCAATAACTGCCGGGCCGTCTGGGTCCCAACCTCGTAAGCGACGAGCCCCGGTTCAACCCCCAATTCGATCCCATTTGGGCCTGAATAAGAGCACTATGTCTCCCGGAGAGTGGGGGGAACCGGCTTAACAGCTTAGTGTACCGTCCCGTTGCCCCCTATAAATGCTTCCATGCCCTAACCCTGGACCATTTGCAGACTGTCCGAGAAGTTGAACAGTTGTTCTCGGCAATAGGTTGGGAAAAGTACCTCACCATTGGTTACGCCACGTTTGAGGAGTTGTGTTGTGAATTCTACTCCACCTTCGAGTTCTTAAAAAATGAATTCATCACTTTGGATGAGAAGGGGACTATTCAATTCAGATTAAGGGGCACATAGTATAGTATGTCCATTAATGAGTTTAATCTGACTTTGGGATTTGTTAGTGAAGATACCATTGCATCTGGGGCATATATAAACAGTGCGTGTGACTACACCAGACCGTTTTCTACGGATTACATTGACATTTGGAGGAAGTGGTCCACGGATCGTCAACTTTACAATCCGAGTCAGTCCAAGGCCTCTCATCTGAAGGATCCTGTTTTGAAGGTCATCCATCGGTTTTTGGCGCACAATTTCTCGGGCCGAAAGGATTCCTCCGGCACTCTCATCAAGGTGGAATTTTATTTTCTTTGGTGCATGCGCAACAAAGTTCAGGTTAACTTGGGATGTTGGGTAGCCACCCAAATGCAATCGGTCATTCAAAAGCATAATAAACCGGTGATTCTGGGCTCACTCATTGCTCACTTAGCCATTCGATTGGGGTTGCTAGACCTCGACGGAGAGCACCGCTTCGCTCTGGCTCGTGAGATAGAGCCACTGGATTTGCGCAGCTTGGAGCGAATGGGGGTTATTTTCAAAATGGGCGATGTCTATCAGTTTACGCCCCCTGGCGAGGGCGGGCCACAGCCCCAGGTGCCTCTGACTGTCCCCTCCACTGACTCTCCACCCCATCCAGATCAAGCGGGCCCGTCTTCCTCTCATACTCCTCCTGTTTAGGACTCTAGCTACCAGCACTTCCAACATTCCGCTGATGAGCTAAACACCCAAGTGTCAAGATTAGATGGCCGTCTTGAGGCGCTCCAGGTGTTCGCCCGTATTCAGGCAAACAATCAAGCGACCTTCTTCGCTCACATCGGATTCACCCCACCTCATCCTCCTCCACCTTAGTGCCTCAGTGCCCTCTCTCGGTAGTTAGGGAAGTTTCTCTACTTATTCCCCTCCTACTTCATTTGTCATTTCTACATTGGGGACAATGTAGATTTTAGGTGTGGGGGGGATGGTTGAGGATGGTTGTTATTATTTCCTTTTACTACCATTAATTCCTTTTACTGCAAAAAAAAATATATATATATAGGGGTGTGTAGTTAGTTGACTTTCTTTCTATTGCTTCGTTTCTTAGCTGTTAGAGCATGCTGCTATGATGAATTGTACAATCATGGTGCATGGGTATGTGGTCAGATATGCTAGCCGTGCATTTTGCTTCCTTTGGCAATGTCGTCGAATGTTGAATATGCTGGATTTGACTCATTCTTGTAATTTGGGAGCTTTTGAGCCTTGTTTGAGCACATTATTCTTGTTTGCTCTTTTGTTGTTTGATTGAGTGAATATCACACATGATATTGGCATTCTAGAACTTGCTATTTTGTACATGTCGATACCACATTTTGTTGAACTGGATGAATTTGAAATGATAAGGGCATTTAGGATTAAACCTCCTTTAACTTCCTAAAAACCATGCCTTCATCTTGTCTCCCAATAGTAAACCAATTTGAGTTTTTATCCGTCGAGTTTGTTTGTTAGCCATGTTGATGACCCAAGACCTCTTTAGACTTTCTTTTTCACCCCTACGTTGTCAAGGGATGTCTGAATTCCATCATTTGAGCAAGGCAAATAAATCTGGGGTTGCAAGTGTTGTTAGATTAGGAGCTGTATGATGCTATCCTTGTATAAAGGGGAGAAATTGACAAAAGGCCATTGATCAGAAGACTCTGTCTTACAGGGCGTGCCCACGCCTTGCAAGACATTCTCCCTTAAAAAAAAAAAAAAACTTGAAGGAAGTGATCAGAAGACTTTGGCTTACAGGGCGTGCCCACGCCTTGCAAGACATTCCCCTTTAAAAATATATATATATATATAGCGGCACTTGCTCAGTGTGTACAGCAGGTGGAAACTGTCTTGTTCGGGGAATTTCTCCGGCGAAGCATTATGGTTACATGGTGGGTTTCGGACAGTCTCTTGACACATACCCCCTGTCTATACCTTCCTACCCTGCCTTTACCTAAGCCCCATTACAACCTTATCGAAGTTCCTTTGATTTGTGTATTCAGTTTACTTTTCAGTGGTGGAGATGTGATAAATGTGCAAGCCTATGGTAATTCCATTCCGTGGTGTTGATTTGAGCGGTCCTAGCATTCATACATTTTCTTTGAATTACCACATGTCCTGTGTGTTCTAATTTTGGCAATATTGTCAGGGATCTGAGATGTTTGTGTTAGTATAGATTACCACATGACCTTTGCTCGCTTGGTTGTACTTCTGAGTTTCGAAATGCTTGAGGACAAGCATTGTCTAGATGTGGGGGGATTTGATAGAGCAATTATTTGGCACATTTTGCACTATTATTTTGTCCTAATTTTGGCTATTTAATGTGCTAAATATTGAAGTTTTGCTCATATTTCATATTTGCATGGATTATAGGTGGTTGGCGAAAAAAGTGCTCTCGCAGGGCAAAAATTTCAGAAGACTTTTTGTCTCAGGACATGCCCACGCCAGAGACCGAAAGAGTTACATCAAAAAGACGGACTCGCAGGATTAATTGCAGCCAAGCCAACTAAGGAGCCCGGTCCACGTGAACCCGGAGCATTAGATTAGAACCTTTAAACAAAAGTTGTGGGCCTCCTAACCCTTTGAAGACTACTGGCGGCGGCTTGAATAAAAGAAAGAGAAAGAAAGAGAGGGGGAGGGATGTTTTTTTCAGGAGATTGGCTTTTGCTCAGAGGGGCAGACGCTTTTTCTTCTTTTCTTGTTTTGAGCGGCCAAGGGGAGGAAGGCCAGATTCACGTGTACTTGAGACATTAGCTTTGGTTTTCTTTTCTAGAGCGGTCAGACGATTGCAGATTTTCGTTTTGCTTTTCGACTGTGACACTTTGACTCCTTGGCTCTTATTTTGGCTCTGTATAATTTACTTTAGCTTTTGTTCGTACACTGGTGGCTCCAATACGAAGACGAAGCCAGATTTTTCTTTGTTGTTACTCCGATTAATTCATCTTCCCCAATTCCTCGGCAATTAATTCCTGGGCCATTGAGTGGATGATATTAATCAAATCTCGCGAGCTTGATATGATGAGAAGTGGCTAAAATCCCCATTCTACCCAGGGATTAACGCGAAGACGCGGGGCATAACATCTGTGAGATCTAATCAAATTTTTATTATTTCTTCCAATTCGTTACTATTCGTGCATTTCCTGAATTAATTGTTCATGGGTATTTTATTAATTGAATATCAACGGCCGGGTATTTGATTTAATTTAATAGCCTACTGTCACATTAACTAAATTGAATCCGTAATTGTTCATTTAGTTGATACCTAGTGGCAACCACCATAATTGGCTTTATATTGGGGGAACGCAAGATCTAGTTTAAATAAATCCTTTTAGCGTGTTTATTGATTAGGGTTGGGTTCTTCTAGCTTTAATGCAATTGGATAATTAAATTCCTATGGTCGTACTTAGGGTTGTTTTCTGGTTAGGGAAGCAGTCAACGGTCGTACCTTGCATGTCGAAAAAGTAAGGAAGAACTGGTTGTTAGAGTTTATTGATAACTATAACCAAACTAATGACGAATGAATGAAATATCTTTGCATCGATAATCATTTAATTGGACCGTGCTTAAGCAGTAGATCATTTGGGTAGAATTTTATTAATTGCTAATTTTAGTAAATTGTACTTGTTGAGTTATCTTTTGAATTTTACTTATTTTATTTTATTTTCATTTTCATCCCATTAATCATCCCCCAATTTTATTCTATTGACTTGGAAAGAAACAACTTTCTACCCGTTTCCTGTGGAATCGACCCTACTTGCCATTGTACGCAAAATTAATATTGTTATAGACAAATCTGGTATAACGGATCAAGCAAACTCTTCGAAAATAGGATGAATCAAGTAACCCATTACACACCTAGGGTCCCTGCTCCAGTATTTAGATTTACTCTATAATTAATTGTGGTGGTAATTAGGACTTTTTAGTATTTATTATTGCACAGATTCGACACATGTAATTGACTTTCTCAAATAATCGTCAGCCATGGAGTAAAATTTCAGCAATTGGAAAGCTCCCCAACCTTGAAGTCCTTAAATTAGGCTATGATTCCTTTGTGGGGGAAAAGTGGGAAATGCAAGAAGGGGAGTTCCAAAACCTCCGATTCTTGAAATTGTCACAGTTGGACTTTCGCTGGTGGACCGCCTCTTCTGATAATTTTTGCTGTCTTGAGAAATTGGTTTTGACTATGTGTAAATGGCTGGAAGAGGTCCCTTCTTGTTTAGGGGAAGCCCTCACTCTTGACATGATTGAGGTAATATGGTGTCCTGAGTCTGCAGTAAATTCTGTGAAGCAAATTCGGCAAGAACAGATGGATATGGGAAATAAGGATCTAAAGATTGTTGCTGCTGCACGGAATTGGTGATGGTCCACGTTTTCTTCTAAGTGCCAACTCAGAAAGAGAGTCGATCTCCTCTCATCACATTTTGCAAAAGCAGAGTGTGGTTCCACTTATTAGGTTAGATATATTTTCTTTGATGTTCTATTTGTATATGTTCAATCAGTTCAATGCTATAACTTTTCGTGCTTCTCAACGCAATTTCTGGAGATTTCCAATTAATTATTTGATTTGATTAGACATGCATATATGAATTCAACATTGTCTATCAAATATATTTATTTCTATATACTATTCTGATGTTCTCAGTTCCTTCAATATTTCATAATGTTTATGATCAATCGTCCCAGTTTCTGAAATTTTCTTCAATATGGCTACAGATTTGTGTGATCCTTTCAACCAGCAGAGCACAAGAATACATGCCAGGTACACTTTACTATTCCTGTTCTGTATTCCAGTGAGAGTACTAATTTTCTTTTTTGAAATCAAATAGCTGAATGACCTGACACTTTCTTTTTCCGTTTCTTTTTTCTATTTATTTTGAATTGCCAAGAATTCGGTATGCTATTGTGGTCATGTTGTGTAGAATATGTGTATTAAAAACTCAGAGCTTGGTAAACATAAGGATTTTTATTTTTCTGGTTTTTATTCCTCTTTTTTCTTTTTCTTTTTTCATTTTTGCCATCTAGATATGTGAGTTTGCTCCTGCTTGTTTTTCAAGAGTTTTGTTATGCTATGTTCCTGTAGAATGTTCTAAACTTTGCAAACTAGTTGTGCTTAGCCTTGGCCATTAGCCATGTTCTTCTGACACCTTGATATGCATAAAGAAGCTAAAGAAACAAATTTCTAGCTGTTAAAGTTAGATTGTATCCTTCGTTTCCTGAAGACGAACAAATTTCTAGAGACATCTACTTTATGTAATCTTTGGTAATACCTATAGATTTTGCATGGAACATTTAACTGATTTACCAAAAGATGCTAAAAGTTTCTGGATGTGGAGCAAAAGAGGAAGGGAATTTGAACTTGACGAAAGGAATCATTACCAAAATTTAGATTTAGCATTTTGACTATTACTTTGTCCTCTATCCAACTTGTGCAGTCTGGCTTCCCATTTGCAATTAATTGGTAAAGTTGCAACATCTTTAAGAAACAAAAAATGTTTGATTTAGTTTCTGCACTTCTAGTTAATCACAGCTATTGTGAATCCTGGGAACGATTCTGGTGAATTTTTCTGATCAAAGAGGGAAGAGAAGAAAAAGAAAAAGAAAATGAAAAAAATAGATGGAAGAGAAGAATATACCAACTTCTGGCTCATAGATCAACTGCCAGCTAAGGGAAGATGAGAGCTAGCGAATGCAGGAATACCAATTTAATATCCTGAACAAATGTCCCGTTAATGTATTACTTGTTGAGAATGGGACATATGAGTTTTAAGGAAGAGACAACAGGCTAGAAGGTCTTTGCAAATTGCTATGGCATTTGATGCCTAAAAGTGGTACAAGCATTCAATCATGCCATGATGCCACTATCATGGTGGTACAAGCATTCAATCATGCCATGATGCCACTATCATGATTCGTGCAATTCATTAACATGTTTACACAAATCATTTTCTAATACTACAGGAAGTGAATTACCATTGATTATAAGTTGCTGCTAACTGGTAGTGCATCATCCATGCAACTTCTCCTTTTCTAGGAATGGTTATTAAAGATGTTTTTGCAGCATCTACTCTCTCTCTCCCACCAAAAGTTGGTCTTTGAGAGGGAGGAGGGAGTACAGGGAGTGGAAAGTTATCTGGAAGATAGTCCGACAGTAATTGTCTGTATAGAGAGCTGATGCCCAAAGGTGGCACATTTTCTGTCTTGTGCCAATTGAAATATTCAGAAAGCTAGAAATGCATTTTGTTGCTAAACTGGAACTGCCATAGTGGTTTGATCATGTCTATTTTTTATTCTTTATTGCTGAAAAGTGTAAAAAAGGATAATGACAGTCATCTGTTCTGGTGTTCCTTCATGTTATTATTAGCCTCTAATCGAGGATCACTTCACCTACTTTGGGTTTCGTAGTCTACATATGTACTCTCTGTTCTTTTCCATATGAAAGACATTTGGAAGCTCCCCAAGGGTCCTATCTTTGGCTGACCAAACCCAAGAGAAGGTGGTCAAATTTATTGTTTGCTTTGTGGTTTTACCCTTTAGCCAGCTCTGCTGGTAGGAAAATTAAACAGATAATCAGGAGGAATCTAGTTCAATTCTCAAGCCCTCACCTTTCCCCCTCCCCCCTCGTGAGGCTTAGTCTCCTTGAATTGAAAGGTTATTGTCGATCTTTTTCTTCTGCTCCATATCCTGGCTTTTCTTTTTTGTTCCATTGCCCCTCAAAGCCGAAAAACAGCATCTGACTCTTGTGTTCTATAAATCTTAGATTTCCTTTTGCAGGTCCTCCAAGAAAGGCCATCCAACTTTTAAACAGATATTGGAACTGTACTGCTAAGTTTTTGCCTGTAAATTGTCTGGTATAAATGCTCCACTTCTCTATTTCTTTTTTCTTCTACTAGTTCCTTTCATTAATTCAAGTACGTAATGCAGCAGGGTACTGCACAGGAGGACAACCAAAATAAAACCACAGACTGCTGGAGCACGCATGGATGGCTTGATAGCCTTCTTGCATTACTGGCCTGGAACGGATCCCTCAACTAGGGAAGTATTTCTGATGCTGGCAAGGTTCTTGAATTGAATATTTCTTAACTGGATGGATCAGTCACTCGCCGGAGGCTTCATCAGCTATTGAAACTTCATGCTCTCCCTGTTTGATCTTGTTCTTGACAGATAATCTCTTCCTTCCAGCATCGTAGCTCACTAGCTTGCTCATCATCTTATAAGTTGTGTTAAAACTTCTTCTTTTGCACCATTCATAAGCAGCCATTGCTCTTCGCTGATGAAGTGGATCAAGTGTTGCTGGTAGCTCAGACTCCGAAAGAGCAGCAATATAAATTTCATTTGCTCTCAATCAAAAGAAAATGACTATTGTAATCCAGTGAAAAATTATTAGATTGCACTGTTTTGCTCTAAAGGAAAAACCATGCGCCAAATTGAATTGGATAGTATATTTTTCTCTCAGTAATTAACTTGCAAGAAGTGATGAAGATCTGAGTAGGATAAGAAGGATAAAATTTTAGATTTTGTTTATATTAACTATGTTCTCAATGACGGACAAATTGTATTTTTGTTTATAATAAATATGAGTTTTTATCCGTGTCTTGTTCATTTACATGTCTATTATCTACTCCAAAATCATAGATCTTTCTGTTTATCTATACTACTTTTCTTAAGGAAATCCAGCCATGGTATTAAATGTGTCCCTGATGCCCATTTTCTTCTGACTTGTCTACTGTTTACTCTGACCTGTCTGCTTATTTGATTCGACTTTTGTTTCTGTTCATTATAGGATTAAAACTGCAGTACTGCAACAGTTTTTTTTTTTTTTTTTGGGGGGGGGGGGTTACAGATTGCCAGTATATTGCAATGGACCTGGAAAATAGAGACAAGGAAAACTGCCATTGAGTTCCAAAAAAGGTTGTGGTGGATATTTTGTTCTTAATGTGTCACTAAGCTAAAAAAAATTGCGAATTGCTCTCAGCTACAAAGTGCATTCAAGTTTTTTGGACATTATGTATTAAAATTTCATAGAATGCTTAGATAATAGACTCATATCCTCCATGAGTTTAGATTAGTTTAGTCAGTCAACTCACAACAATTCAAATCAAATCTTTTGAAGAACGCAGTTAGAAGAATTAACTACAGCATCTTTCATTAAAAAACTCAAAAAGTCAAAAGTTTTTACATAATTAATACATAATACCTGCACCAAATAATAGCAGTTTGGTTTCTGAAGATCAATGAAGATAAGATAGAATAACAAGGCCAAGAAGTTCCCAGGGTAAATACTCACATAGCATTCTTGTCAGGAGAAAAAGTTAAGAGCAGAGTGCAATGGGCATTTTGCAAGTCTAAACACAATGTTTTAGCTATGTTTCCAATTATTCACTTCATCTTTCATTCAATGGCAGATTTTAGCAATCGTTGAGTTTGGGTTCGACCTATTAAATGATGGCCTGCAGACGATGTCATATGAAGAAATTAAACAAGGACGCTAGACAGGGAGAGTGAAATTGGTGTTTGTTGACTTGATATTGTCACCGAGTCCCCTTCCCAAATTTAAAAAAAAAATGGTGAATAGATAAAGAAAAGAAAAGAAAAGAGAAAGTCTTGGCAGCAATATTTGACTATTGGTGTTCGACTGCTTTAAATTATGACTTGTGAGAAAGTTATAGATCTGGAACTAAGTTCTTTCAATAGCTAGAGAGATAGCAATCTGATATCAGATTGAAAAGTAGTAGTAAAATGGAGATGCCCTTCATTAGTGCTACTAGTTACTTTGATCTTGCCTTGGATTATCTGGAATGGTGTGACAATCCGTTCAGCAAGTATTTTTCTTCTGATATCAGGAACCTGATGCTGGAGGTTAGATTATTGAAAACTTTTGATCTGTATATGAGAAATTGCAGGAGGAGGAATCATGGAACGATTTTGGAACATGATCAGGAGGAGAAGGCTAATACTAAGTCTGACAGAGTGAGACATAGTATTATTTTGTTCACAATTCAAGATCTGGTTACCAGGATACAGCACGATCTTCACTCTGCTTATCTTAGAGATATGCAATCTGGTGCATCAGATTTTAGTGGCATTGAAGGTGAGCTCGTTGGATTCCAGGAAGATATCGAATTGTTGTTTGAGAAAGAAATCAATGAATCATGGATCAATATTTTGTTGGGCCATTACTCACTGGGAGATACACGACTAGTTATGGATCTCATTGATTCCCTCTCTGATAATCTGGAGGATCTTCTCTTCGGAGATCATGAATTTGGTGAAGCTTTTCATTATCTAATACATACCCTTAAAGAGAAACTAATGTTCTTGAAGAGTTTCATTTGCTTTGTCACACTGCAGGGCGTTCAGGGTGAGCAATTGATGATCTGCTGATTCACACTGAAGTTGTGGCTATCAAAGCTGCACGCCTGATTTCTATATCTTGGTTTGAGAGAGACGATGAAGAGGTTTGCAATGCAATGGAATTTGAAATTTCTCAACTGCTGCACGAGAAGATTGATCCGGTTGATCCCCAAGTCCAAGAAACTTATATCCATGTCCTAACTGCTTCAAAATTGTCAAGATCATCACACAATTTAGCTCTTGAGGAGAACAAGAATCTGGTGGCTAAATTTATTGTCTGTCTCCTAGATTACATTATGGACCTAATATCACATAATAGCATTCTGGTTCCAGTGAAGGATCAAATGCTAAAATTCCATCAGGGAGTGAGATTCCTGAGTATCCTTCTTAGCCAGCAGCAAGAGAGGTTCAATGAGCTACATGACGAACTGAAGGATCTTATCAGAATTGTGGTCTGTGATGCAGGAATCATGACTTTCTCACTTTCTGTGAATGAAATAGAAATAGGCCTGGCCAAGGAAACAGATCTTGAGCTGTTTCATTTGCTGAAAGTGCTTGAGGTTATTAAGGGAGAAGTTACACAAATTTATCCAGTTACGTCACCATCATCATATAGGTTTCCAAGGACCAATGAGTTGGGCTCCATTGATTTCCTACTAGAAAATCTTGTGGAACTAGCATGTTCTGAGCATGATTTAGTTACTCTTCCAAAGGATCAAATCCTCACAATCCAAGAAGATCTTATATTCTTAAGATCTTTTCTACAAAATATTCTGGAGCAGCGCAACCAAAATGAAAAACTACGAGATGTTTGGAATCATGTGATGGAGGTTGCATATAAGGCAGAGTTAGTGATAGACTCTGTTGTGGTGGGGGATAAACCTGAATGTTTGGATACTATTGCTGGAGATATCAAACTTGTGAAGACTGAGGCTCTTGAAATCTATGACAGCATGAGGCATGATATTGAAGCTCAGAGGGTCACGAAGAATTTTATTTGCATTAAATCACAACATAACACCCTGGGATTGAATGATGTTCTGGTGGGTCTTGATGATGAGGTAAAAACAATTATGGATAAAATTACCAGGGGTTCAAAGCTGTTGGATATTGTTTCGATTGTGGGCATGCCTGGACTTGGCAAGACAGCATTAGCCAGCAAAGTTTTCAATGATCCTTCAGTTTTAGGCCACTTTCATATTTGTGCTTGGTGTACTCTTTCTCAAGTGTATAGCAAGCACAATTTGTTGGTTCAGATTCTTGGTTTTATAGCTTCTGAGAGGTTTGACCAATATCTGAATATGAATGAAGATGATTTGGCAGAAAAGCTCTACAAGTGTTTGAAGGGGAATAGGTATCTCATCATTTTGGACGATGTGTGGGACATTGAGCCATGGAACTTGTTGAAACCATCATTGCCAGATGATGCCAATGGAAGCAGGATTCTTTTCACCAGTAGATTTCATAATTTGTCTTCACAATTCAAACGAGATTGCACGCCTCACCATCTTCGGCAACTTATGGATGAAGAGAGTTGGGCATTGCTGCAGACAAAGATATTCGGCAAAGAAGTTTGTCCTCCAGCATTAAGAGTAGTTGGAAAGCAAATAGCAAAAAATTGTAAGGGCCTACCTCTCACAGTTATCCTTGTTGCTGGAATTCTTTCAAATGTTAAGGAAGATTGCTGGGAAGAAGTTGCAAATAGTCTGAGCTCTCGCTCAGTTATTGAGACCGAGCACTGCATGAAGACACTGGAGCTGTGTTACAGTCATTTACCCGATTATTTGAAGCCATGCCTCCTCTACCTTGGTGCATTCCAGGAAGACCAAGACATTCCTGTTCGAAAGTTAAAGTTGTTATGGATCTCTGAAGGATTTGTGCGGAAGACTGAGCCAAGTGACTTAGAGGATGTGGCAGATGGCTACTTGACGGATCTGATCACTAGAAGTTTAGTTATGGTTACGCTACAAAGATCTGTAGGGGGGGTCAAAGCTTGCCGAATTCATGATTTGGTGCATGAGTTTTGCGTGGAAAAAGCCAAAGAAGAAAGATTTCTACGGATTTTGCCTGGGCATACTGAGCTTTCTACTTATAATGGATCATACAGCACCGATCGATTTTTTATTTACTCTGCCACAGAAGAGGAATTGAAGAATTCGAGACTACTTTTTCCCAATTTACGCTCCTTGATCTGGTTTTCCAATCATGATTGGAAGTTTGTACTGTGGTGTTTACTCATTCCGTTTTAAGATGTTTAAACTTCTTAGAGTGCTGGATTTGGGAAAACTTTGTCTTGGTAGTTATTTTCCAAGGGAAGTAGTATTGCTTGTTCACCTGAGATACTTGACCATTCAGTGTTATATAAATTCCATCCCATCGTCAATAGCCAATCTCTCAAGGTTAGAAACTTTTATCATCAAAGTGTATGATGGAAATGTTGGATTGCCTGATACTATTCGGAGCATGAAGAAATTGAGGCACCTATATGTGGAAGGTATTCTTTCTCCAGTTGCTTTTAGTCTTTCATCTGACGATCTTGAAGTCTCCCAAGATATATATCATTTTGAAACCTTTACCCTTGCTGTTGATCCCTCACCTCAAATTTTCCAAAAGACACTGACAAAGTTACCAAGCATCCGCAGGCTAAAATGCGTGGGGGGCAGAAGATACTCTGCTGAGAGTTTCGACAGGATTATCAAGCTCGATTTTTTGAGTCAACTAGAATCACTCAAAGTGGTTAGCTTTCAGAGAGTTGAGTTTGCATTCCCCCTAAACCTACGAAAACTAACACTCTCAATCCTTGATGGGCCGGGGTTGCTTGCCAGGTTTGAACAAAATAAACTGCCATGGAATAAAATATCAGCAATTGCAGAGCTGCCCAATCTTGAAGTGCTCAAATTAAGTGGAGCCTTTGTGGGGGAAACATGGGAAATGGGAGAAGGGGCATTTCCTAAGCTCAGATTCTTGAAGTTGGCATACTTGGACATTGTCAGGTGGACAGCCTCTTGTGATGATTTCCCCCCTCTTCAGAAACTGGTTTTGGAAGGTTGTTCTAAGCTGGAAGAAGTCCCTTCTTGTTTAGGGGATATTCCAACTATTGAAGTGATAGAGGTCAAATGGTGTCACAAGTCTACCGCAAGCTTGGTTAAGCAAATTCAAGAACAACAGATGGATATGGGAAACGAGTGTCTAAAAATATTTATTCAAGAAAATTTTAAGATTTGGGCAATTTCTTGAGTGCTTAGATCTTTGGGAGAATCAATTCCATCTCAGTTGCATGTTGAAGAGGTGAATCAGTCATGTCTTTTCAACCTTGGTAGATTTGAAAGAGAGAAAACAGATTGGGATTCCACTCTTTAGGTTTGTAATGCTACTACGTTACTATTTGTATCTGTTGAATAAAATTCATGTGTAATACTATTTATGTTTCTTAAAGCAACTTTTTAAGTTTCCAATGCCTTGTTGAATTTGATTCTACAATTTCATGATTGCAGTGGCAAGAATAGTCAAGAACTAATTAGTCCAACATTATCTATCCTACTCTGTGCCTAATGTTCTTGCCATTGAATATTTGATATTTTTGAAATCATAGCTGCGCCTGCAATATTCTTCAATACCACTATGTTTGGTTCTACAGAATTGGAATTGAATTGGAATTAAAATTCTATAGAATTAGAATTCTAGGAATTGGAATTCCAAAACATTGGAATTCTTTTGTTTGGGAAATGCATAGAATTGATATAAAATTCATTTGGAATTCCAAATTCTTTGTTTGAATGCGAGAAGAATTCATTAAGAATTAGAATTGTTTCCATCTAACATTTGCTTACATAAAAATTTTCTTTTTTTCTTTTTCGTATGGAATAATTTTTTAAACATTTAGCTAATTGTTACTAAAGTTTCAAGGAAAAAATCAATTAATGCCTTTAATAATTTATTTTTTCTTGCATTTAACCAATTGTTATTAAAGCTTTAAAGAAAAAAACCAATTAGTTCCTTTTCTACAAAAAAAAAATATGGTATTACTCTTGTTTCCTTTATTCTTAATTAAATTATATTAGATAAAAAACTAATTGGAGTATGTAAGACAACAAGATAAAGTTCATTGTGCATGTAAGTAAAGCTTCTGGACAATGATGAACAAGAAAGTAACTATTCACAAAATAAAAACAAGAAACTATGAAGTCTAAAGTATCTCTTAACAAGACCACATTAACATGCCTTTTCATGCAGACACGTTTGACCCAAAACTTCAAGAACAGTTTTGAACAAAAACCTGCATCACTTATTACCAACAAACCATAAATATCTCATCTTGTGCAATTCGTTGATTTTTAAAGAGAAAATTATCAGTGGAAAGGTGTGCTGCCAAACATACACAAATCCACATGCATAAACAGATATTATGCGTGCATAAACCCATATGTAAATCCAGTGAAATAATCTGATATTAATCACATGGTTCATGGTTGCACAAGTGAAGTTGCTCCAGTCCCTGCAAGAGAGCTTCTTCGACCTTTGCAAAGAATGCTGAAGATCATATATTCTCACAACTTGCTGAGCACTAATTATCATGACAGGAGTCTTAACATAAAAAAAACGATACATCTCTCAAAATGGTCCATCGCTTCTTGAACAAACCAAATGTCCTTTCAATCACATTTTGAGCAATTGAATGTCAAAGGTTGAATAACTGTTTAAAATTTTGAGACTTGTTCCCATTAGCAGACCACTCACTAAGATGATATCCAACTCCCCTATATGGAGCTAAGAAACCAGGGCTACTTGCATAACCCGCATCAACAAGAAAGTACTTTGCTTGTAATGTTGGACAACAAATTGTTACTCATTTATAGTTAAAAGGAAAAAAAACACTCGATATCTAATTGTCACATACCCTTGGGAACAATTAATGGATCTGGATAAGGTAGTGACTCCCTAATTTTATGATAGCACGTAGAACTATATTAAAGTATTGACTAACTGCCTCACCTGATCTTATGAAATTAAAATTGACAGTGTGATTCTTAAAGTTGTGAGCAAAACATAGAGCAGCATTGCAACTACTTCAACAATAATATTTCTAGTATCCCTCTAGTATCCCTCAACCCACAATGCTCTCTTAAATTTGTACATAAAACAGTAAAACAATTATTGAGTCGAAGTTGCTCTACACAAACTCTGTTGATCACCAAGAAAACAAAAACCAATTTGAAGCTGCTTTTAGTACATGACTGGTTCCTGCAAATTGATACCAACAAGATCAGGGTTTATGTTGATAAGTTGATCGGTTTATAAACTAGTAATTAGTGATAATTACATGTATAAGATGATTTTCAAGCCACACAAGAAAAGACTAATAGTATAGAAATAAGTAGGTTATTGTTGTGTCCACATGAAATTATATTAGAGGTCCATAATCATTCTAACTAGTTTCAGCACAACTTAGCTTTAGCTATAGATCAATTTAAACACAATGGGATAGTTATCATAGATAGTAAGTAAACGGTGACTAACAATAAGATTCATGTTATAGACTTATTGACTGATCATCATCAATTTCTAGTTTATAATATTACTCACTTGTAGCATACTTAATAAAGTTAGTGGTGCGCCTACAATTAAGACATATTGTGTCAAAATATATGTGTTAGGTGATATTTATCATAAGGGCTCTTTTTTTAATATAATAACTATGTTGTGGCATCAAAAAACTAAAACCAGAGGTCACTAATTGAATTAGTAATGCACTAACATGTGATTAAATCACTTATGGCTCAAAGATTAAAATCTTTCTTTTTTGTTAAAAGAAAATTAAAGCATGTAATTGTTGATCCCTGCTTGAAAAACTACATTAAGAGCAGATAAACTGGTTCGACTAACGGCCAAGCTTTTGGAGGCTATTCTTAAACAAAACATGTTAGTCCTACAATCACGGTAGAAAGTGCTAAGGTGCTTTAAGTTGACCAGATTCAATTTGCTGAAGTTGTAGATCTCACAGCTAGGATACATAGAACAGAGTTAATTCTTTGCTTAGTTGAGTCAACGATCAACTTGAGTCAAAGATATTTTAGCCCATCTATATTGTTAAACCTTTCTGTTTACCACACAAAATTACTTAGAAATGAGGATTTAGATTTAGCCATACTAGATATGTGTGAACAAGAATAAAAATCTGAAACTTTTAAGCAATTGACTGTGGCCATCATATTAAACCACCATATTGTTAACATAAGTTAGAGAGTAATGATTTTAAACTTTATCATAGAAAAGGAAAATGTGTCAGCAATCAACTTGATTCCATAATCAATTGACTAATTCCCTTTTATATGTTAGTTGATTGTTGTTAAAAGTTATGCCCAAAAGTAATCATGTGCATGTGGTGAGTATGCAAAGAAGAAATTGTGGTCTTGTTGAGAACAATCACACCACAGCTTATTTGAATCCATCAACTGTGACAAATACAAGTTCATTAACTTGACTAAAATTGCATCCACTACTAAAGACTTCAGCAGAAGTAGTAATTAAATCACCGGAATGCAGCTTTAGGATGAAATAAGTTCCCTTGTTGAATGTCAATAACCTCAATTTTCTTTACTCCATTTTCTTTCTGTCGGTAGATTCTTTCTTTCTCCATTTCCCCCCTCCTTTTGTGCATTTTAGATTCTTTATTTCTTCCTCCTTTTGTACTTTTAGAATCCATTAAATTTAAGCGCTAATTGAGTACTAAACTTTATATTGAATTTTGGGAAAATGTATATATCACGTTTCAAACCTTGTCTAAAGTCTGAACTTATTTTATCAAGGGATACAGAGTATTTATCTTTGAGTTGCATATGCAAAAAGCTGGAGTTGAATAGACCACAAACCTCCAGGATGTGATGCAACTTGCCGTCTATCCTTGTTTTGCTCATCATCCTCAAGAATAACAGCTTTATTATCTCCTAGAGCTGACATTAAGTTGACACCACAAAATTAAGACATGGACTTCTTTACTATATAGTATATTAGGAACAAAAATTGCATGATAACAAGGTTGTACGTAGGGCTTACGCTTTAAAAATGTCAATACTTCAATAAAAAGAAGATTGAACATGCTGCTCATACACCAATCCAGTACCAAGTTTCTATAAAAAATAGACCTCCGTCCTTAACAAGGGTCTTTCCAACTGTAGGTTCTGAGCCATTGCTGGGCTGTAAAACCAAAGTCAAGAACCATTACTAGAATTAATATCTGGCACTCAAGGGTTAGGCAGTGCTTTGTAAGAAAACGTCAAATTTCAGTGCAAATTCTTAGGAGATATTACCTTCAACACTGAAGAACCCAATTCGAGAAAATTAGGTAGGGGTAAGGAGAGAGCACTCAGATTAGTCTTGCGATTGGCAAGGTGATAGGTGGATGCGTGGCAGGAGAGGCGAAGGGAAGAGGGATGGCAGAAACAAAGAGCGATAGGGGAAACGATGGTGGAAGCGGCAAAATGTTAGGGCGGAGGTAGAAGCGATGGTGGAGAGCAGGAACACTTGCGGGTGAGAAAAAATGGTGAATTAGAATAGGAGAGAGGGATGCTTGTATATTTGACCCGCTTTTAATTTTTTACCCATGTTAGATCTGCGTGTATATCCATTTCTTAGAGTTTAGTTGTGGAATTGGAATTAGAATTCTTTTGGTCCAGTAAAGAATTCAATTCATGGAATTGGACCCCCATAGAATTCAAATTGAATTCTAATTCTTTAAGTGAAGCAGATTTTATACAATCCTTCTGCCCAGTGCTTCACAAGCATATACAGGAAGATGCACTTCTGTAACATTTTTTCTACAGTACAGTTAAGAGTAACGCATACTAAGGTTCATCTGTCAGAAGAAATAGCCGAATGATCCAACGCTTTCTTTTTCTTTTTCTTTTTTGAATTCTTTATAGGAAATAAAGCCTGTAAAGAATTCATATATATATATATCCGATCGAAGTCTTTTGTTTTCTAACCTTAAACCTGTTAATCCAGAGAAGTCACAAAAGACATTTAACAATTCTCCTACCAAAAGTTTCAATTAGAGGTATTCTCCAAAGAGGAAGAATTGCGGTGATTTCAGTATTCATCTAGTATAAGTAACGGTGTGTAGAAACGATAAGATCAGTGTTAAGTTTTGTTACTCATCTAAATTGAGAAAACAGGATTGTGATTTCACTACATCTTCTGAAGAAGTCTCAAAACAAACCTCTTTTCTGTACTGTTTTTTC